ATATTTTTTTCGGGTAGTAAAACCAAACGTGATTCATTTGATTATATCAAAAATCCTTCAGAGATTATTTTCCATCAATACGACGAAGGACAAGACAGATGTTGCCAGATGTTGCCAATACTAGTCTCATATTTTTCAATATATTTATACTAAAAAAAAAAACAGGTTTCACTATAACATCAATGCATAATAATAAGTTTGAAAGAAATATTATTACAACTTATAAGTTTAAACTTGTAAAATGTATTTTTGACCAGTTATTACGAGTACATTTCTGTAATCCGGATGTGATTGTTTCTATCAAATTAATTCAATCGATGACCTATCATTAATTGTTTACGGATCAAGAAAAAAACACGACGATAACGAAATTATTAAGGAAGCGTCGTATTATTACAGTACGGTTATTTTACAGCATTGCAAAACCAGAAACTCCAAAATACGCAAAAACAGAAACGCGTCGTACTGATTGAGGAGGGTTAGCGTGTGGACATTGAAGATTGTACATCGTAGGATATATACTAGCAGGGCCTGCGGAAGGCAATGCAATCGCACAGGGTGGCAATATTTAGGAGCAAAAATATTGTAGGAGTGAAAATAATGCCAATTGGATGGGGAATCTGTTGAAGACTATCAAGACCTAAAGTTGTAAAAACTTTAAATTTTAAATTTTTCACCGCATTAATAAATAGCCAAATATTGAAAATATCGAATAATCCAAATAGTTCGAAAAATAATTTCTTAAAATATCAATTCTCTAAAACACTATTGTTTTATCAGTGTATAACATTTGTTTCTGTATTATTAAGTGTTGAAGCCATTTATTTCAAAAATTACAAGGATGTCTAGAGCCGCACAGGTTTGTAAAGTTTTTTTTTCTTTTTTTTTAGTCGTAGTTGTAGTATTATTACTATGGTATAAAAACTAATAACACTATTACTATTTTATGAAGACCATATGAGAAAAAATTATCATAGTACAAAAGTCGACAAATATATTTTATCGGTAATGGGTAAGCACTAAAAACATAATAATACGTCTAAAATTAAGAAAATAATAAGAAAAACGTTTTTTCATTGACATTTAGTGAGTTCTATCCATTTATGGTTCTCAACTAAAACTCCCTTTTCCCTTTCCAGATTTTTAACATAAATTTTCAAAACTATTTTACCGGAAATAAACATCGTTAAACTCATTGTACTATTATTATATAAACAAATTTAATAAGTATATATAATAAATTATACCGAAATCTTAAAAAAATATAATCAAATTTTAATTTATACTTTATGGGTCTGATATTAATGCATTTTCCAAAGAGCCACAGATTGCTCGTTAGGTACCGCAGGTTTCTGATCTCTGGCCCAGGGCAACATTATTTGATGTATGGCCATGTTAGTCGTCCGTCATACTCATAAACTTATGTAATGTTATTACTTGAATTATTTCCCTATCGAAGTCATCTCACCAAGATTAAAATAATTACGAGTTTCACGAGCCCTGAATATTTATTTATCTGATTTATGTGGTCCCTATTTTTTTTTTTTTTTTTGTATTTGGGCGGCATTTTTATAAACTGGTACAGGATGGTTAAAATCTTAGCACCGGTACTGTGTACTACTTAGAGCGTTGAAGCGAGTCGATTATTGCCGCAACCGACAAGGCACCAGGACCAGATCGGAAGGATTTAATAACAAGCATCAAAACCTACTCGATTGCGAAATACCTGTTTGTCAGAAAACGTCTTCTGCACGCTAATATTCCGGGGTAGTCGTGTTGTAAGATGTGCGCGCTTTGCTTCTCTATACTTCTGTTTTCGTTGATTATCCGACGACGTTCGCCGATTTTAAACTCAATAATTCGTGCGGCTAACACGCTAACACACGTAAAGCACATAAGACGTTATATTAATAATGCACTGTGTACGCCCCTTATTTGAGTATAATTATTATGTTGCGAACGATTAGTGTAAACGAACACCACCTGTCATAACCGCGCGGTATATCTGTTTTTGATTACACCACGCAAACTCATTATATTCTTCATTAAACTAATCGTTATACCTAATACCGCAGTGCACGTGTGTAACCGCGTTCTGAATGGTTTTGATGAACCATCGTGTTCCGTAAGATTTATATTTTTCAAGCATAGATTGAAATATCGCGTAAACGCAATTCAATCGTACGCCATTCCTACTCTGTCAATATTGTCCTATGCCAAGTAAACACAACGCGCCGCGCAATTTGTTCGTGTTTTATATTGACCACTGTTTCGTTTGTTGATTAAATAACGGAAGAAAAAGAAAAAATATATCTCGATGAATATCCAATGCACGTTTTTCAGATCCGCAAACTTTTTGCGTCAATGTAATATCGATTTTTATTATAATCTCGAAATGATTTATATTGCATTGTAGGTAAAAAAGACGTGTACAGACTAGAAGTCTTATTACACGCGGCACGTGGAATACGTGTTTACCCAAAATAAGAGCGTATTACCTAATCTTAACTCTGTTTAAATATTATTTTAATAAAACTTTAAGTACGTAAATACGACGTTAATAATTTTATCTTTAAAAAAACGGATATAAATTTTAGATAAACATGTATTTCACGTAACTCGTGTAATATGAGCTTTAGTAAAGACAGTTCAAATCGACGTATACGCTTGTCATTATGAACGCGAGATTATCTTAACAGCATTGTTACGTTCGTCCATCAGTTATTACTAGAAATCCTAAGTTTCTAATCTATCATCTACATTAAGTTATGTGTATACATTACATTTATCATTTATAAACGTAAAAAATTTTATACAATGAAAATCCTTGAAAATAATTTTCAAAAAATCAAGTTTATTGTTCTGTAGAAAAAGGTTCTAAACGAGTTTCTATAAAATGCAATATTAAATAAAAAGTTTTACTTGTTTAATTAAAAACATATTTATTGCTTCATGGAAATTCTAATTTTTATGATAATTTCAAGAATCAGGATCACTAGAATATAACGTTCGATATATATGATAAAATATATTTTTATTAAGTGCACAGGATATTGTAAAATATATTCAATTAAATTTCTTTATAACCAAGGATTTTTGATCTTAAAAATAGTAATATTTTATTTATAGTGTTATTCATAATGATATATTTTTTAAAAACATTATGTTTTTCCTATAACAGTTTTATGTTTTGAAAATCCTTGAGGATCATTCACAATGAAGTCAAGTTTATTACACTGTAAACATTTTTTGCATAAATAATAAATGAAAATATCATAATGAATAGTGAAGTAAATATATATATATATATATAGGCTATTATGCGTTTTATATATAAATATTTAAAAACGACAAAAAAAAATAATCATTTAGAATAATGTTAGTGTTTATTTGCATATAAAAGAGCATATTGACGTTTAAATTTATCAAACAATTCTTAGTTTGATGTTCAAAATTTTCTCGAAGATTTATGGGTCTAAGATATTGCACTTGTTACAAATAATTTTGGCTGTGTTGCACTAATTATATTCGAAGAGAATATTTGTTATAGAGATTCAGCAAAATATTTAAAAATTAACTATAAATTGATTATTTTTTGAATATTAATTGCAATATCTATTTGTTGATAGCTTATATACATGAATCTTATGGTGTTCAAATGATTTACAAGGAAGATAAATCAAAGAAAAATATATGAAGTTTCGAATTTAAACAGGAATAGAACGTTATTGTTTTTATGTTATATTATTTTGTTATACCTTTAGCACTTTTGAAGCAAAATAATAGCTTTAAATTGAATTTCTGTAGCTGGTATATCGTATAAAACGCAACTCAATTATTATTTTTTGTATTAACGTGACGTTCGTCAAATAAAGATGAACAGTAAAGTTAACCTCTCGTGATAAACATATTTTCATTACTTTTATTTAATGTCTATATTTATTATCTATACAGATGTAGATGAGATGAGATAAATTGTATGAGATCCTTTAAATTCCGAGAGAGATTTTTTATGAATAATTCTTCTATAAATCGACAAGCATCAAAACTGAACGCCCATATATCGTATATTGTTTTGAATACAGGTTGGTAATAATAATACAATAAATATAAAACGTATGTCTGTACCAAGTATTGTATAATGTAAAATATCATATTGTTTCTCGTCCATCACGTTTCTTATTATTTATTTTAACATACAATAAGGTATAAATTTCGGTGATTATACACATGACACACGTTTCATTATAACAGTGCGAATACTATAGATCATAGTCGTTCAGCTAATAGTATAATACTATTCAAAGGTGGACATTAACTAATTACAAAATTGGTGTTGAGATTTGGTTGAAAAAAATACAAACGGTTTTTTATATTACAACTCAATTTATTTTAAAAAAACCGTTGTGAATATAGCTTCGTAACATTTTTCAGTAAGATTGAAAAAATTATCAATTGAGCTTATAGTATATCGAAACCCGTTAAAATTAAGTTTTAGTATTTGCACATTATGGAAAACACTTCGATTCGTCAGTATTCGGAAGTTATTTATTGGATTTTTTTTTTAAAAAACTCACCTCATTAGAAACTATTAAACTTAATTTAAATCTCTCATCCGGTCGATGGCTATAACATCGTACCGGTGCAAAATTTGTCAAATACACCACGTCCTTCGTACATTTACGAGCACGTGTACAGACCGCATCCACTAATGTTACGTGTCCCGTTCGTAATCGTACCGAGATTCTATCGAAAGATCATCGTGTTTTACGTTTTTATTATTATTATTATTGCGTGGTTTTGACAACGCGTAAACGGTCTACGTTTATGGCCGAAAATTACCATACAAACCGCAATCGCATTACTGTAATTATTATGCAGTCGGATGTTGTCCGTGCCGCGGAACGTCTTCTCTCCCACGAGAATGTCCTTCCCACGAATCCGCGTGTATCCATCGCGCGCGCTTCCTACGGACGGTTGTTGCAGTTGCTCGGATCTAATCGAAGCTCATCGGTCGTTTCGTCATCGTAATAACGTATTAATATTTCATACGCAGCCGTTTCGTGAATCATCTTCGTCGTCGTCATCTGCTGATAATAGATCTGAAACGTGCAAATAACGTTACACTCAGCTTTCACTCAGTGCAACACCGTTCGGGTGTGTGTGTGTGCGCGAGTGCGTAATGTCCGAAACGGGTAAAAATCAAATTTGGCCCCGCTCGCGCACATGAACAACACTTATGTCATCGTAATGAACAACACGGTTATAATGCCTAACATGACTAGCTTATTATTATGTGCACGTGTGAATTCGTGATTAATTTTTTTTCGGTAAAGTTGACGAGTGCTTATAAAAAAACGTATGTAAATTAAACATTTCGTAAAAACATCGAAAACACGTAAGCAATATTTTTATCAATATTAAAAAAAATTAAAAATACCACGTTAATATAGTATGCATTAACATTTTTGAAAGTAATTTACGTATCCGACGATCTTCTGAAATGTAATAGAGGACCTTCGAAATCATTACACTTTAGTTGCGCGTCAAAAAATATACGCTAAACGATAATCAGCGTATATTAATGTTCGTTTAATTTAACATTTTAATACGTTTAATACAAAATTATATGCTGAGATTAATTTTAATTTTGCAAACATCTTGCTTACAAATAACCGCCGATCAAATTAAAAAAATGCAAATTGCTTACAACTATATATACAACTGATGATTATGTGTATGATTAAAGACTATTTACTTCGATTTTTTTATTTTTGTAATTTTAGAACTGTAAATATTATAAAAACTTTTAAATGTTTTTAACCATTTTCTAAATGATCCTTGATCCTTGATCCTTACACTATGCGTATATTTTCTTCTAATAATTCCTATAAAATTTGATCGGTTCGTAATTCTAGTTGAAATCGATTGGATTGTCATTTATATTGGTATCGTCATAACGTTTTCTGGAACTTGATTTCTTGAACAATTTGAAATGTTTTCAATTGATATTATTGTTTCGAAGAAACCAAATGAAATTTCAAACGAAATCCAAAACGTATGAAAAAAAGATATACCGTCCCTGTTTGGATGTAGAACGAGTGCATGACGTTCGGTGTGCACATACCACGGCATCAGTTTTCAGTGGACAGATCGTTTTCCAGTAGATCAGAGCGTAAGTTTTGGATCCGTTCCGTCGATGACGACGACGTTCGTCGTCCTATGGAAGTTTCGTAACGATTCATTTCCGCGTTCGGAGGATCAACTTTTCGACGGTAGAACACGACGGTTGAATAACGCGTTTTGTGTGACCACCGTGTACACGTGGTAAGTACCACCAACACCCCGTCGACGACTTTTTCACCGCGCGCGAAATAATTTTTGGGGAACAACATCGGAAACGTGAAAAGTGACGTAACTCGAAAACATAACTCCGGCAGACGCGCGCACATGCGTAACAATACGCCTTACGATAACGGTACAACAGTGTTACATCCGCAGGTGTCCCCGCTCACGGTCACGTGGACCGCGGAACCTCTTGATGTTCGGTTGCGGCTGTGCATGATATGTTGTCGTAAAGGTGAAGGTCGACGATGTTACCTGCATGGTATTTCCACAATAGCGAACGATATGCTCACGGGTAGTAACAACTTTCCCCGATATTTTTATTTTTTTTATAACATTTTATATCCGCGACATAACTCTTCGGCTGTCGTTGCGCAACTGTACACATTATGTTGTACCCGAAGATACGTTACTCACGAGTCCGGTTGATGTTCCGTCGGAGTTCCGATGTTCCAACTCTTTTTATTTTCATTTTTATTTTTTTATACCTACGTTTGCGAGTCCATCGATCACCGCCTGGCCATCGATCGAACGATAAAGACTGTACGTCATTATCGATCTTTAGTTTGTGATCAGTCCGCACGTCAGTGTTATGATGGCGTCCGTCTACGCGCAGGATGATCCGCAAGGGTTTAACGATCGTGCCGTCGCCGATGACACATAAGGATCGTGTTTTTACTCCGGTCGTTTTTTTTTCACACGCTCCGACATGTTGTAGAAAAAAAATATCACACATTCTATTTATTTACATAAGATATAGTAGAATAATTACAATCGCTATACCATCGTGGAATACGTCATACATCCTATTGAGAAGTCCAGTAGATATAGCGATACGTGTATGTGTAATTTGCAGACACCGAGTAATTGAAATCTGTCTTGAACTTTCACGCACTTGATCCGAACGAAAAAAAAAAGTAGGATCAAACACACATTAATGCCTTATAGTGAGATTACTAATTTCTGTAAATGGCGAAATAATAATAATAGTAAATATAACACCATCAGCCTATAACATTGATAATATTTCTATAATTCTTTCTACCATTATTTTTCAAAACTTCAGCAATTATTGATTTTGCGTTTTGGTGAATGTTTCTTATCCGTAATATACTCTATAAATATTATTGGGTCTTTAAAAAATTAATTTCATTTAAAATTTGCAGCGTTAAATGACCATTTATTTTAGAGAACCAAATAATTAGTCAAACAGTTATTATCAAAACGTTAAAATATCTCGTTCCTAAAATAAATACGCAGCGTTCAACTAGAACAAATAAATAAATAATAACCGGTAAAAACTAGCCTTCGTGGACTATTTGGCGTTTACTATACACACATGTGTTTAACTATAACCGTTAAATATTCAAATAAAATAATAATCAAGCATCATTGTGTGCCACTTACACGTCAATCGACGTGATCCATATTCAGTCACGTTTATGCCCACCCACAGATAATTTGCATAACACAAGCCATATTATTTTCAGACGATTATCAATCTTTATCGAAATGAAACACAATATATGATATAGAACCAACGTGTTCAATTTCATAATATTTCCTCCCCACTCGTTTTACCGATTGCATAATATACGCACGTATTCATTAGTCTTTGATGATTTAATACTATTTTTTTCTTCCAATTGTTAAAAAAAGTAATATTACAATTGTTTGAGTTTTAAAAATTTGATTAAACGACGAATATATTTTAAGCGTAGATGTTTTAACAAAACGTTCATAAATAGTTTACCTTAATAGAATGGTTTCACTTTTGAGCGCAATGGAAAATAAACAACGAACACGAATGTTATTATGTGAAGTAAAGTAATACTATAATAATAAATTGATTCCACGAACAATCCAAATCTAGCTTATTATGCAGTATTGAAATTAGAATAATTTTCACGAAGTCACGAAGAGACGCAGAGGTACATGTTTTCAATCTGATAAATACTTCGATTTCCTTTCTCTTAACGAATCTATAAAGTTCAAGAATATGTGTAGTCAATATGTACACCGCTGCGTGTAATATTAAAATATTAAATACCAAGACCACTCGCCGCAACACCACGAGGTCTGAATTTATAATATTATGTACATTTTATACGGCTTAAACCAAATCTAGACACCGCGTTTAATTGATCTTATCAATATTATCTATATATATATAAAACATATTTTCCTATTGTTTTCGTTTTTACAATGACGAGTTCATGTTTACCAAAGCATAACTATACTGCCTTCTGGTCTGATGAATTTTAATAACAAATAACTAGTTTTTATTATTATTATTATTTCGATTGAGAAATATGTAATGTTATAATTGAATTGAAGAATCAGTGTATGATAAATTCAAACGAAAGTTGAGGAGAAACGTAATATTTGTGTAGGCTCCCCAATGTGTAATACATACTTAATTCTCGGTTCGTTTATATGAAATTAATATTCATGTTTTTATTAATACCATATAGTGTTGCTATACTGAATTGTCGTAACGTTTTAGTGGTTTTTAAAATCGTAAGGAGTTAAACACTTACAGAGCAGCAAACATTATACCCGTTTGTTGTTTCGTTTAAGCGTTATTTTTTTTGTACCTACCTATATAAATATGAAAAAAAGTACTACTTGTACTTCCACCGTACCCTTTAAATGAAAAACGAAAGAATATTTTCTTTTCGACGTGATATTCTTCGTCTTTTGTGTTATTATTGTTTTCAACATTTTCAAGGAGGTATAAGTTGGTTTTTTGTACATTATCAAAAAAATATCCAACCAATTATTATATTATACACGCGGTCCGTGTATATTCTCTCTCGCGCTTTGGGTGTTTTAATGTAATATTATGTTCAAAGTAAACACGATGTTTTTTCTCAATTAAATAAAAACTATACGAGTTCTGCGCGATTACGACGTTTACACTCGACGCGTGTTAGTGAAAATACTACAATGATTCCACAAAGTCAACCGACCCGGAACGTGATATTTTTCTTTCAGACGACGGTGTCGGAGGCACTCGCGCACGCGCGCACGTGTGTTATACACGATGAATACAATTCTTACCAATTATCGTTCGCTATTGTTTGACAGATGGACCACCGCGAGACGGGTAAATGTGGCATCATTGAAACATGCCGTTATCTGCAATGTTTACGGTATTTTTATTTCATTTTTTTTTTCCTGCAATTTTGAACTCTTCTATCCGGTATTATTATTATGAACGCGTATACCCGTGATGGTGAGTTATTAATGCGTTATTTTTCGTTTTTTCGAACACGCACTTACACGCGTGTTTTCTTTTTTTTTTTCATTTTTTCTTCTCGATTCCTTTTCGTTACTTATTTTTTACGAGTAATTTAATTACGTCACAATGAAAACGTGCCAACGTCATAACTAAACCGGCTAATTTCTGTTTTCGATATACGTTTTTATGTGCATATCTGAACGGCAAAAATATTTTTCCCTACGCATGGTTTGAATGGTCAACGCAAGGCTCGGAAACGATATACCACGTGCCGGATTCATAAATTTTTATCTGACAGCATAGCGCAATGTTTATTTATTTATAATACATTTAACTCATTGCCCGACGGTTTCACCAAACACTTTTGTCGTCATTATTTTATCCGCTTAAACTCGAACATCATAATTAAAATGTAACAAAACTTGTACGTGCTAATTGCAAACCGAATTCTATATTTCGAGATGCGTGAATGGCTTGTCGATTTTATTTTTTCTTAACTTCTGGGACGATCCAGTGAATTCGTCCCAGATAACCTTCCTCATCGTATAAAAAGACACTGGTATAGTTATGTTAGATCTCATGAACCCCAACCTCTATTATTTAACTAAAAACTTCCTCCTCCTACCAAAGTCAGAGTGTTTTTGCATTGGTTAGTGCACTCTCTCTGCATTTTATTTCATGTTGTTGCTATCTCGGTAAAGTCAAAATTTCCTAAATATTACAGATTACAAATAAACATTTAATTAAACTGAAAGAATAATCCAGGACGTGCATTTTAGCCTACAAATGTACAACATCTCATAATATAG